GAACATCCTGATGTTGTTCAGCTGGTTTAGTAGACGACTGAGCGTCACTGAGTCGGTTGCCATGTATGATGTGCGCGTATAAGACACCTGTAGGTGTGTACGAGTTAAGGCAGGGTCTTCTAAACATTACCGTAGTAGGGTTTAGGGGTAATCTTATAACGAGGGGGTATCTTCTAAACGGTTCTTTGTCCATTTATAAGAATTATAAGACACCCTAAACCACCCCAACTACAAGACAACCCAAGCATTTTTTTCTAGTGTATAAGATAAGACATATATGTCTTATATCCGGGCGATGACGGTATAGGCAAGCAGCGACTCGTTGTAGTACTGCGTCTTTTCCTGGGGTGAGCCGTCGTTGGGAAACGGTAATGAACCGTCGTAGTACATCCAGATCTGCGCGCTTTGAGCTAGGAGCTCGAATTCGAAGCTCCATGTGTAGAAATCCTTCCCGTCGAAAAACGTGCTCGTCCTGAGTTTTGAGGTAGATAAGAACTTGCTTTGGATTGACGCCATTGCTTCGTAATGTGCTTGTTGTGCTTGAGCAGGCGCTTATCCTTGGCGGTTGTCGCACGTGAATGCGCACTCGGAGTAGGGCCCTTGAGGATCGGGAGGTCTTCTGACGTAGCCTGAACCATCAACACTCATGGGCTGATTGTGGCTTTCCAGTGCGTTGATGCGGGTGATGAGTTGCTCGATGAGAGCAGGATCAACGGATGCCACTCCTGAGGTGACATTAGTAGGTTGATTGACTGGATTTTCTCCAGTTTCCCTGCAGTCGGCGCATGGCATGATGCTATTTTACAGATCGTGGTTTTAGCGGATCCCGTAATCCAAACGAGCTCTCATACCATGTCAGGATCTTGGATAGGATAAGTCTGCTAGAGTAGGTTAGCTGAAGTCTTTTGTAGTGGGAACCTTGATAATAGTGAATGTAAATGACAAGATTGATTAGAATGAAAACATTACACACAATATAGATCCTAACTAGCCATGTACTATGAGGGGTTCATTCCTTTATTGAACTGTAATACAGGCATTGCTACAGTAGCAGTGACTATTGCGATCCTTCAGTTACCGTGTTGCTGCTTGCAACGGAAAAGACAGTTACGACGGTTGAAGTCCCTCGCAACCGTTTGGTCCAGGTTAGTCAACAGTCGCGGCAGTTGACCCGTGACTGTTGACCTGCGTGCCCTATATGGGCCAGCGCGGTAGTGGTACAGGTGCTACTTCGATAGTAGCTGGTGCGATAAGGCTGCACCTTCAGGAATGCAATTCTCGCCTTACTCCATCATTAGTTACAGGATTGGACCTAAGAGAGGGAGATTTGTAATGGAACGCTTGTATAGAGATGCTTCAGCTCTTAGGGGGGTCCTTGCATCTGACTCCTTGGAGGTTGTGGGGCCTGCCAACTGTTGAACTGATGCCGTTCTAACCCAGTGGATTCTTGCTGCCCAGTTCTGATCGGCTCCAGATCTGCGTGTTTTTCAACCGTCCACGTGTATTTCAGTACAAGCTCCATCTACCATTAGCACTCGTATCGAATCTCTTCCCTCTTCCAGTCGCACCGAACCGAACGGATGGTGGTGGCGAGGTGGGTGGAGGAGAAATTATTTCATACGATGCTCAACCCCTGCGCGCGAATTTGCCCTGCCCTGGATGGAAAGTCTGCACCCGTGTTTTTTTTACCAGCCAGTTGCACCCACATTACAAGCACCTCGGGCAAGTTGCAGTGGTTCTGAACCAATACGAACCACAGAAACCGAAGTCGAACAGAAGAGACCGAAGTCAAACTGTCAATGGGGAGTTACAAATATTTTAAAAGCCCTTTTTTGCTAGGTTCGACGTTGACGAAATTTGCGAAATGACTAGAATCACTTAAAATCCCTCTTCACAAGGCAACCTTGGGTTAGTCAAACGGGCATCGTGTGTATTAGGTCGAACCCAAACATAACTAACAAGTGTATGAGAGTGGGAGGCTGCGAGGACGCAAGAGGAGTGGGAGGCTCTCTCCTGTCTGTTCCCTCAGATCGGAAGGCCTGACGAGGTGGAGATTTTTGGAGGAATCATTAGTGAGCAGATAAAGGTCTCTTTCCCGAACGAGTAATGGAGGAGCTACGTCGCGTGCGACAAGCGCCGCCTTGGTGTCATCCGTAGGTTTTATTTTCCTGAGGTCTCTTTGCTTCATAGGTCCACCTCCGCTGTAGGGTGCACAGCTGCGTACAGAAGTGATGCGCAGCTTTGGAATTGGCATGATTGGCAGAGCTCAGCCATCGCCACCGCCACTTCCAAGTGGCGTTACGTGAGCTCAGCCATGTAGTGCACCTGTCGCCTCACGCGCCTTCAATCGCACGTGCACACCAAGTCCCACCGATCCATTTGCAAAGTTGAGAAGCCATGGCTCAGGCTTCTCGATCTATTTTAGCAGCCCAGGAGGACACTCTTTATTCATCAGCTTGTTACCTGCGTTTTGCCGAGTTCCCCCTACCGTGGCTCGGGTTTTTTAGTCGGCGCGAGTTTTCAAGACGAGGAAGAGACAAAAGCCGCTTTCTTTGTGGCAACAAATTCGTTCATTTAGCCACATAGCTATTCTAAGGCATAATAGTTGCACGCCGAAGCTATGGATCTTGGCGCAAGCGTGTATGCCGAGAAATCTCGGTTTTCTAATGTGAATCGCCGGCTTGAAGCTTGGAATCGTGCGACCGGCTCACCGAAACCTGCCGTTAAGCCATCAGCTAAGGGTCTCTCGCAGCGGCGCAGCTTTGAAGTGCTGTTCAATCTCAAGGACCAGCCAACGGATTCGAGTGTCTCACGGCGAGTTTCCACCCTCGAAAACCTCAGCGTTGGGGATCAATCGCACTACTTCCCCCGCAGAAAGTCACTCCCAGACTTGGCAGCTGGTGGCAGTGATCCGTGGTCTCCGTGCTCGCCTCTGGACCACCAATGCACCGCCTCAAGCCCCTCCTCCGAATGCTCTCCACACGCTGCTCTGCAAGTGACTGCATCGGTTATGAGTATGAGAGAGCAGGAGCAGACATGCTGCTTGACGAAGGGACATGTCCATTCCTGTGGGAGAGCCATCTGCAACACAACGGATGATGCAGCTGACATGGCATGTGCGAGGTGTTCCGATGCGGCTTCCCAGTGCGGATTTGATGGCGATGCAAGAAAGAAGATCCAGATGCTGCAAGAGCAGAGGAACATTGCTCAGAGACGCGGGTTTACTGTTTCGTGTTTGGAGGACTCAGCAGGCACAAGAGGGGAAGACAAGAGAGCGGCCAGGCGAGGAGGTAGCAGTGGTGCCATTGAGAGTAGGATGAAAAAGGAGAACATCTGTTTTTCCAGCGGAGCATGTGGCTGTGCGGCAAGTGACGGACGGGGTGGAAGCAGCACTGCCATGTCTCCGTTGTGTACAATCATGTCCACAGCTCCTCCTGTGTTTGTATGGGCCGCTCAAAGGCGGATTGAACGAAAGGCCTTGCAAAGCTGAACTGTACTTGCATGCGCAACATCTATGTAATATATGGTTACCCAGCCCGCTTTTGAACAAATGGCAAGGACAAATCTGATTGCAGGACTAGAGTTGTGTGGACTGTGTTGGTAAATATCTGCTGCCATGCATTTCTGGTGTATGAGACCAGCCCGCCTTCCAAGAGAAAGACTTGAGCACGCTGATTTTCACCGTGACATACGGTAGCACCACCTGTATCCCCTTGGGTGGCTTGAGTTGAGTGGAAGGGAGTGGCAATTACCGTATTATCATCAACCCCCCCCTCCCCGACATGTGGGACCCGATGGGGCCTCTCTTGAGGTACTGATCAGGGCTAATTTTATCAGTGTAAATCACCCTGATACCCTGATTATCAGGGTGGTCTTTGGTAGTCACACTGATGGCCTAGGGTATTTTTTTCGGGAGCTAGGAATTCCCTGATATGCCAGGGTTTACATTTAAGGCACACTGATGACTCAGGGTTACCGATCTTGATAACGAGTTTTACCCTGAAGCGAGTACCATACCCCCCCCCCCCACTCCCCCCCCCCGCCCGACCACTTCTGTCCCGCTAAACTATAGAACGAGTCACGTTGGAGTGGCCCGGTCGGAATGACTCAACGAAATGGGGTCGACGGTCGGTCGACGGACCGTCGACCACCGTCGACCTGACCGACGGGCAGAAAAAAACTAAACCCTCTAGGAAGGGCATGCCATCCGAGGGAGGCATCAACCCTAAACACCATGCGACTCGCTTGTCCATTGAGCTATATCAAGAGGTAGACTGGTCTTCGTGAGGATGAAGACCCGTGATCGAATCCTGCAGCTGGCCCTTTTGTTCAGAACTTCAGTAGAAACACTTCATCAGGGTTCTGGAAATTGTTACACTGTGGCCTAAGGGTAAATTTCTTGAAACTATGGAAAACCCTGATGGAAAAGATTTTTCCCAAGGGGTCACACTGATAATCAGGGTTTTGCAAAGGTGCAGGACTGGTGATAAGGGTTGCTTAAAACAAAAAATTAGCCCTGGTACTGATACAGGGACACATGGGAAGGAAGACATTAATCGCGACAGGGTATTTACAGTTACATTGAGAATAGCTGCATTCAAACAAAAATGTCGGGAGGCTACGTGCGGTACTGTCATGCACCCTCCATCCTTTTTAGAAGGCCATGCTAGGCTACACTTTCCGTGCAACCTCCACCCCATGCGGCCACATCACCCACCCGGCTCATCACTGCTGTTCATCCCGTGGCCTCTTTCGATTGGCTGCTTTGAATCGCTTCATCTCATCAGAGCGAGGCCCGTACAAATCAGCGATGGACACACGGCAGAAGCTGGAACGGGCGGGGGACGCGTGGGGGGGGGGGGGGTTGGGGTGGTGTGAGTGAAGCAGAGAAGCGTGATTCAGGAGCAGTAAAAAGTCGCAGCATGGTTGAGCGTGAAGCAAGGGATAGTGAGGAGGGGCATCAGCAAGGGGGTGTGTCTGCAAATAGCAAGATGAGAGCTTCACGTCCCCTGTGTCCACACAGTAGCACCCCACATACCACCCGTGCTCCCTGCACACCTTCCCGCCGTGGCTGCAAGTTGATGCGGTGCAATGCGGTAGAGGTCCCAAAAAACATCCGCCTCCACTCGGCAGAAGCGAGGGCGGGCTGGAGGCAGGCGAGATGGATGCACGTGGGAGGCAGGGATGGGGGAAGGCAGGGGGTGCACGCATGGATCCTGCCGCACTGCCCGTGGGGATTGACGCATGGATGCGTGCTGGCACACAACAGCGAACACAGGGCGTGGCAGGCGATAATGACAATGCGAGTGTGTTTGCACGTCACAGCCGTGCAGTCTGTGCTTGCCGCTAGCTGCTTGCTGCTTGCTGAATGGCGCCTGCTGCCCGCGGAGCATGCACGGCACGCGTCTCACAGTCGTATATGCGGCATGCACGAGTGTCCTTGTCGTAGTGCCGGCACCACCCGTCCGCCCCCACCATGCTGCGGTACACCTGCCACACACGGCGCCACCGCAATCCAACGCGCAGCGAACGCAAGAAGGGGCGGAATGGGCAGAAGGGAGGCGGGCAGTTCGAGGGGCGCGATGACACGGCTGGGAGAGCAGCGGACAAGAAGCGGCGCGATAGCATCCAGCCACGAGCCCCGGCTCCTCACCGCCAGCTCGCTCGGGTCGCGCAGAATTGTCTCGATGGGCGGCGCCAGCTCGCCCTTATCCAGCTGGCAGCACGCGCCGCACCGCTCAACGCACGCCCACCCCGCGATGCGCCCTCGCCCAAGGCCCGCTCCCTCGCTGCTGTCGCCGCCGCCGCCACTGTTTGCTTGAAGCGGGCCTCCTGGAGCCGCACGGCTTGCCGCACGCACGGAGAGACGCGCGCCTCCCTGCTCCAACCCCCTGGCGTCAGCGGCCACGGACGCGGCTGCTGCAGCGGCGAGCGCGCGGGTACCGACGGAACGACACGCGCTGCTAGTACTCGCGCGCTCGAGTGCACCGACATTCAGCGACGCGCACACCCCTTGCCGGAAAACTCGCGCGCCAACTAGCGTGGCGGGCGCCATGCATGCACGTAGCGAAAGATCGGGACGGGTGGTGGATAATGAAATGTCAGTCGATCGGACACCCTTTTGCTCAAATTGTGGTGGGTTGTCAGATAACAAAAATATATGGCCGTGTTTGTGAAAAATAGAATACGATCAACTTACTATGAAGGTACCTAGTCTAAAACGGAACGATCTCACTTTCCGTTTAGGGCATGCTCGAAAACAACACTGCCCATATCCCTTTGGTATTTAGTGCTAACGCTGTTGTAAATTGTAATCAAAACTGTTCCCCTTCGTCGTCAGTATGCACAACAGCAATGACAATGACAGTCCCGAGACCGCCATGGCTGATGTTATAACTGAAGGATCGTAGTGAATAGGATAAGGTTGCCAAGTGTAAAGAAGAGAGCTGTGAAGTCTCTGTAATGACCTTGTTGATGAATTGAAAGAGAACAAGATAGTTATAAAATAGGAGTACAAGGGTATAAATAGCATTCCTAGCTAGCCATGTACTCTGAGGGGTACAATCCCTTATTAACCGAATTGCATTGCTACAGTAACCCACGACTATTGCCATTCTAGACAGTTACCATGTTGCACTTCGCAACTACCTTGTGCGGTTACTGGGCAGTCAAGGGTCACGACCGTTTGACTGTCTTCGACTGTTGACCTTCGGGTGACCCTCGACTTTCCGCGTGCTCTATACGAGCTAGTGCGGTACTGGTGCAAGCGTCTGCTTCGCTATGAGAAGACGCGACAGTGGAGAGCCTTCGGGAATGCTTAACCTTTCGGTTATTCCAACACTCCCCTTCATTCCCTAAGGTGAGCCACGTGGGATTTCTTGGTGATCCCGCAAAGGTTGGCGCAGTGCTGGAACTGTTGACGTGGCAGTTTCTTTGTCAGGAAGTCGGCTGCCATGTCACCAGTTGGGCAGTACGTGAGCTTGACCTTGCCCTTGTCGATTTCGTCCTTGACGAAGAAGTAGCGAAGGGCGATGTGTTTCGTGCGGTTCACGAAGCTGGGCTTGTTTGCGATCTTGATCGCGCTCTGGTTGTCGCAGAGTAACGTGAAGTGCCCGTTCATCGTTACTTTCGCTTCCTGCAGGAGCTCCATCAGGTACAATCCTTCGCGAACAGCTGCGCTGGCGGCGATGAACTCTGCTTCGGCTGACGCAAGGGCGATGAGTTCCTGCTTCTGAGAATTCCATGAGATGAGTCCAGCAGGTTGAAGTTGAAATGAATCCTGTGCGGGAGCGTCTGTTGTCAACATCTCCCGCATGGTCAGCGTCTACGTAGCCGTGCAGCTGCAGGGTGGCCGTTAAGTTAGCTTCGTAGGTGAGGCCGACGTCGGGAGTAGAGATGAAGTATTGAAGTGGCGGCGTAGATCCTGTAGATTCTCCCCTTTAGGTCGCTTCATGTACTGAGCGAGCTGGCTTGCGACGTAGGAGAGGTCGGGCCGGCACGTGACGGCGGCAAACAGGACGCACCCGAGCTGCTGCTGATAGAGCCGATGATCCTCGAGAGAGAGAGGCGTGGTGTCTGGTTCGTGGTTAGGAGGAGGAGTGCGAAAGGGGGTGGAGAGGTTAATATGTGCGATCCCGAATTTCTTCGCGAGTGTTTCGGCATATTTGGCGGCGGAGAGGTGAATGGAGGAAGCAGACTGGGTGATGTTGAGACCCAGGAATTGAGTGACGTCGTGGTTGACAGTAACTTCCAGCTGCTCCTTGATATCCGCTTCGAACTGGTCCAGCAGCTCCGTGTCGTCGCCGGTGTAGAGGAGGTCGTCGACGTAGGCGACGAGGAGGATAAATTTGCCGCGTGACTCCTTCCTGTACATGCCGAGGTCGTGTGGTAGCTGTTGGAAGCCGAGCTTCGTGAGCACGGTGTGCAGGTACTGTTGCCACAGGCGAGGTGCTTGCTTAATCCCGTAGAGGGACTTATGGAGCAGGCAGACTGGCGCCGTCGTTCTCTTCGAAGGCGTGCGGATGCTCGACGAAGATTATTGCGTCGACCGGAGCGTACAAGAATGCACTGCCGACGTCGATTTGACGGAGTGGGCGCTGTTTGACGGCTGCGATGCAGATGAGGATCCGCACTGAGGTGTGCCGTCCGACTGGTGCGTAGGTGAGATCGAAATCCACCATGTGAGTTTGTTCGAAGCCGCGCACCACCCATCGCGCTTTGTATTTGTCGATGGAGCCGTCCGCCAGTGTCTTGATGCGGAACACCCATTTTCCGCTGAGAATTTTCCTCCCCTTCGCAGATGTCCGGGGAACGAGCTTCCAGGTGCCACGGCTCTTGAGCGATGCGATCTCCTTGGCGATGACTGCCTTCCACTTCTCACTGTCGGGGCCGGAGAGAGCTTGGCGAACGGTGGTGGGTTCCTTGGGGGAGGTGTGGCGAACAGCGACGGCGAGCCCAAGGATCCGTAGACCAGTTTCGTTGGTCTTTTCGTAGTGCAGGCGATCGTAGTCGTGGAAGCTGGTTACTTCGACCACGTCGTCGTCACTTTCGTTGCCAGGGCGGATGGAGTCTTGCGAGGTGTTTGGTGGTGGTAATGCGGCATCTGGTGACTGGCGGGCGTTGCTGTTGAAGTTATGGGCTTCGCGAGTTGTATCATCGGGATCAGGTTGGTGTAGAGGGATGAAGGTTGGAGTCTCGAACGGGCTTGTAAGGGGGATGTTGGGTGCGCTGTCAAATTGGGTAACATTTGCTGCATCCACATCTTCCGCCAGGTCAGCTTCATCGTGTGAAGTTGCGAAGCTGCGGTGTCCCTCAAAAACTCTTTCCGGTGCCCTGTCAGCTTCGCGGTGTTCGTTGAACAGTGGCAGAGTCAGCTTCTCGTAGAAGATGCAGTCACGTGATTTCGTCACTTCGTGTGTCGCGTAGTCCAGCACGATCCACGCCTTGAATTCCTTTTCGATCCCGAGGTGGATGCCCCAGCAAGCCCGGTCAGCAAACTTTCCGGTCCTTGCTGTGTGTGGCCTGTACTGTACCATGCAGCTAAACACCCGAAGCAGGCGCGTGTCTGCTTTTCTGCCCGTCCACGCCCTGTAGGGGGAGTTGTTGTTCTCGAGGCTTCGGGATGACAGCAAGTTGTGCAGCCGGACTGCATGGTTCATGGCGAACGGCCAGTAACGAGTTGGGATGGCCAACTGCTTCATCAGGGCCCTCATCCTGGTGGCGAGACTCCTGTTTGTCCGTTCTGCTACTCCTTGCTGCTCGTGAGCGTAGGGCAGGGACACCAGGTGTTCAATTCCTGCCTGAAGAGCTCCTTGAATTCGTCTGAGAAAAACTCCAGGGCTCCGTCCGTCTGCCAGCTCTTCAGCTTAAGCCCTGATTGCCGTTCAGCCCGCTTCATCCACGTGATGAAGCACTCGAAAGCGAGTGACCTGTAGTCAGTATTAACGGCCCAGACGTAGCGAGTGCTTGCGTCGATGAAGGTAAGTGTGTAGGATTCGCCGTCGAGTCCCTCCTTCGTCGCTGTAAACCTTGTCGAGTGGTTTGTAGCATTCGTAACCGGGCGGCAGGTCGGGGAAGGGCTTGTGGGTGAGTGACACAGCAGGACACACTGTGCATGGCGGGTCTTCGGAGTCTATGGTGAGGGAGCCTCCGCGGGGAAGGAGTAGTGCTCCGTCGTCGAGGACGCCAGCCCGCAGGGAGTTTTTGAGTGTTGCGTGAGAAGGGTGCCCGAGCCGTTGATGCCAGATTTCTGGTTCCGCGCGGTAGCCGACCGTTTTCTGATAATACTTGTTTCTTGCTGCTTCGTCGGTTGCCTCCCCTTCAGGTCCTGTATCGGCGGCGTCGTCGGCGTCGGCGGCGAACGCGTGGATTGACTTCCGTTCTAGAAGCGCGTGTGGAATCCCGATGATGTCGTCGGTGTCGCCGGCGTCAACTTGATCTCCGGTTACAAGCAGGCACTGGTTGGGCCAGTCGCGGACTGGGAGTCCCTTCATGGGAATTCGGAAGTAACTGTACTCGGCGCCGATGACCTCAATTTCTTGTGGTCCTTGTTCTGGCGGCTCCGGCTACTTGGTAGGTTCTGGTAGTTCTGCTGCTTCGCCGAAGAGTTCATAGGTTACTTCTTCTTCTGACTCTTCTTCCATTGGTTCTGGTGTGTCAGGGGCCTACTGGTCCGGAAGAGGAGGTCCACCCCAGTTGGTGCCACGTGTTGCCCAGTAGGGATCGATCGCTGCGGTTTCCGCTGCGGGAAGTCCCGGAGCTTCGGGATAGGCAGGGGTAGCTTGCCCCCATCCTCCTTCACTTGTTGAAGTTCCCCAGCCGCCTCCAGTTCCCCAGCCACCTCCGGTTCCCCAGTCTCCAGTTCCCCAGTCGCCGCCGGTGGTAGCGCCAGCGTCTGTTGGAGCAGTGGCGGCGTCTTCGGATGCCGAGATAGTGTCCCGTCCTTCTGCCGCTGCTTCTTCAGTTGCAGGACTTCTCCCAAGGGACCAAGTGCAGGGCCGGGACTGCCTGAACGAGTTCCAGTCTTCTCGCTTTCTTCAGTGACTGGTTCCGCAGGTGCTGACGTGCCGCTGTCCTCTTCCATTGATGCAGGTCCAGTCTCAGCTGGGTTGGAGGTTGAGGCAGTCGGAACGGTGCGCAGTCGTAGAAGGCCGTCCGAGGCGAGACGCTCGTGATCCATTTCCGTGGGATGCGACCAAGTTGGTGTCCCTGAAGGAGTCGTCTTCAGTAGCAAGGTGCGGTGAGAATCTCCGGTGGTACCCTGAGCTGAGAACTGCTGTACGAAGACCCCGTCATCATCAACCGCCTTGCCGATGTAAGAGTTGTTGTAGAAGAGTTCGAAGGTCTTGTCTTTGCGATTGCTTCGAATGTCGACTCCGCACCGCATGAGCTGAGCCGAGGAAAGCAGGTTGTACCGAAGATCTGGAGCGACGAGCACGTCACCAATGTGAATTGTGAACCTTGTGTCGTCAGCTTCGAGGAAGATTTCACCGATGTCGTATGCTTTGAGTGTGCCGTTGTTTGCTACCGTGATCTCGCAGGGTCGACGCATGCCTT